CACACACATTCTCCTGTCTATTGATGGGGAGCGCCACCTGCTGGAAACTGGGTCCAGCGTCCCATGAACATCGTGAATAAAGCACCAACCGGGACCCCACACACACTCTCTTCGAGTTGTGTACATCGAACATGACAAACATACATACAGCATAATCATTACCTTACCCTTCCCGAACCACATCAACAAAGGAACTACGGGCTGGGCACCCGTGCCCTCACGGTAAGGCTGGGACCCCACTTGCTGGCGGTAGCTGGCAGCCAGGAAAGCATCCGCCAGCACAAATCGTAGCCGACGGGAATGGGCAAGCGAAATGGGACCCCACTGCCACAGCAATTTTCGGCACTTCCCAAGGTGTCTGTTACCCGATAAGGAAGACTTGCCTTTTCGGGCAAGTTTGCCTCCGCTTAACCAATCCCCGTGCCTCCTTTCCGCACGGGATGGCTGGTATGCTGGCGGGCTCTAGATGTTGGCCTGCGTACCAGCCATCCCGTGCAGAAAGGAGGCACGGGGATTGGTTGGTGTGCTATAAAAGCGGAGGTAGGCGGAGTGGAAACAAAAGTGCTTGCGTTTGCCGCCAGCAGTGGGGTCTCAAAACATTTCTTCCAAAGGCTGGCGGCCAGCTACCGCCAGCCAGTGGGGTCCCTCCCTAAGTCAATCAGGGACAGCGTCCGGGACAGCAGATTACCGACGCGCTGCAGGCCGCCCCGCTTTTCAGCGTAGGGCTAACGAGGTGGGGTAGGTCCGAGCCTGCCGGGGTTACGATCTGGTGCGGCTGCCGCGGAACCCTGCGCGTCTCCCTTCCCTGTGCCCGCACAGGTCCCGCACGCTCCGCCCCTGCCACAGCTCCGTCACAAGGTACACCACATCGGTGAGGTCCACAAACAACGCACCCTAATAATGAATGTATGTAACCTAAATTTCGGGTCCGAAGCGTCCAAAATGAGTGTTGTGCGTTGTGCTCGCCGAAAGACGGGTAGCCCACCCTCTTCCGACTGCAGCAACCGATCGTATAGTACCCGACACTGTTCTCCGGTGAACCGAACCACAGCGTCAGGAAGCCGAACCACAGGCTCGGGACTTAGGGCCAGATCCCACGAGCCCCTATTGTTCATTTCTGACCGTTGATGCTCGTAATCGAGGGTCAGAAATGAATAATCCATGGTAGTGGGATCTGACCCCAAGCTCCTGTTGAGTGAGTGAGCGACGCCACCACGTGCGGTGCCATGCACGCGACTGCATACGGCAATGGTCCGGAAGAAGAGTATCGTCGGCAATGATGTATTCGACTGCAATTACGGTCGGACCTGGATGAATCCGACGGCAATCACGTCCAGAGCGTAGTAGAAAAGTCGTCGTGCGAGTATGCAATGGAAATCGCTAACATCGTTGCTGCGATGGTAATCTAATCACCCCTGCATACACTCCTCCAATGGCAGCGGGTTTGTTCGCTTCGGCTCCGTCGATAAGTCGACTTGAGTTCCCTCTGCTCGTTTCCATGGCCCGTCCGAACACACCAGCACTCATTTACAAACGCACCACCTCGGTGTTATCTGACTGATCATCATGGTAGTGCTTCTTATACTCTTAACTACAATCAAGCTTCCAAAATTTCCAATCCCAGACTGCGGTGAATTGAACGAAGGGGCGATGTACTCCCCCCCCCCGCCCCTCCGCCCACGTTGTCTTTCACACAACACCACCTTCAATTGTAGGCATACGGTAGTGTGAGGTGAAATTGAGAGAAGAATATAGGCTTTTTTTTTTTTTTTTTTTTAAAGAAAAAACAACAACATCTTCGCAGGCAAAAAACACGGGCAAAAAAAAAAAAAAGAAGAAGAAAAAAAGAAAGAAAGAAAAAAAAGAAAAAACCACGGGCAGACAGATGTACAGCCACCAAGAAAGTGAAACACAATGTGGTCTGTTCAGTATGAGGGCGGTGAAGAGAGAAGGGAAATAGATGTTGTCGATTTTCGAAAAGAAGTAGATCCGCAGGAGCAAAGGGTATTTTTGGCATAAGCACTCAGGCGCTCGCTGGTCCAGCAGGTAGAAGAATCTGGAATTGATAGATCGGCTTGAGAGAGAAAGGAGAGCGGTAGGTGAGACGTACAATGGAGAAAGCTCAAAAGTACGTACCAAACACGAACTACACGAGAGAAGAAGAAAGGAGGCAGGCACAATACACAACTTTGCTGGCAGCGGGTGAGTAGTATCCGTTGTGAGAGCTGAGTGGTAGTGTGATGATGCTGTTGATTTCGAATTTCGAATCTGATTCTGACGCAGATTCTGATGATTCTCCCGCCGCTGTCAATTCATTTAACATGTTTTCAGACTTTGCTGCCAGCGGGTGAGTAGTAGCCGTTGTGAGAGCTGAGTAGTAGTGTGATGATGCTGTTGATTTCGAATTTCGAATCTGATTCTGACGCAGATTCTGATGATTCTCCCGCCGCTGTCAATTCATTTCAAATGTTTTCAGTTTTCGCGCTCTAATTTTGCATTTGATTGAGTCTGAGTTCATGTTAAGACTTTTTTCGCGCGCGTTATTGCCTGCTTTTCTTTTTTCCCGCGCGCGCGTTCGGTCGTGCTTTTCCTTTCTCTTTCTCCCGCGCGCGCGCGTTAGATTGTGCTTTTCCTTTCTCCCGCGCGTGCGCTAGATCGTGCTTTCGCTTTTCCTATTTTTGGCGCGCGTTAGATCAACGTTTTTCTATTTTGGCGCGCGGTAGATCAACGTTTTTCCTTTTCCTTTTCATTTCTTTTTTGAAAGGACGACGGGCTTGAGATGTCATCAGTGAACTGACCGGCGCCAGGTATTCTTTTTTTTTACTTTTATTTTCTTATGTTTTTTTTGGGGCCCCAGGTATTTCATATACATACTGTAGTCATTATATTACAGAGTATTATTCTGTTCATCTGATTGTATCTGGATTGGATTCGAACGTGGCGCGACGGACGATGGGACATCCCAGCCGTAGCGAAGCGCTCAACAAGCTGTACTCGATTGCTCTAGACAAATGCTTTGAAGCGGGAAGCGATGGAGAGCAGCTGTTTAGGTCGTCCTTCTCCTTTTTGCCGCCGGCGCAGGTTCAAAGCTTGTGGCGTCTTCACTCTGGGTTGTTGATGGACAGCGCGGCTCTGTTGAAGGTAGAAGTCAACAGATACTGTGAGGCACAACATGTCACAGATGCGCTGGATCTTCTCGATCGTCTCTGCGAGCAGCAAGGACTTAGGCAAGCGGATAGAGATGGCGGCGGCGCGCATGGTCTGCGCGGCGGCGGCGGTAATGGGGACAGCAGATTTGCAAATGACTGGGAATCAGGACTAGCGCAGATGCGGAGGGTAAAGATGAAAATTGCGGCAGAAGAGAGGGACACTCTCGAGCAACTAGTAGAACAGGTGGAAAGTCATAACCGGCTTCTGGAAAGACGAGCTAAGGATGTCCAGGCGGAGATGGAAGCATTAGGACAGGTAACGAAAAAAATCGACGAGGAGTTGGCGAAGGAGTGGACGGCGCCGTCAATACGCAGAGAGGAGCAAAAAGGAGGGGAGGAAGAGGAAGAGGAAGAGGGGGGGGAGGAAGGTGTGAAAGCGGGGGAGAAGGAAGAAGATAACAATACCATATAGCATGGAGATAGAATCGTGTCTGTCAGAAGCTGTTCTGTACAGTGAGCGCACTTGTCTCTCTCTCTCTTTCTCCCTCTTTCTGTCTGTCTGTCTCTCTCCTGCTCTCTTTTTCTCTCTGACTCACTCACTCTTTAGTGCTCAGTTGCTCTCTCTCTCTCTCTCTCTCTCTCTCTCTCTCTCTCTCTCTCTCTCTCTCTCTCTCTCCCCCTCTCTCTGGCTCTCCCTCTCTCTCTCCCTCTCTCTTTCTCTCTCTTCCTCTACTCCTCCTCCCCCCCCCTCCTTCCAATTTGTCGCAGTCGCGGCTCTTGTCACAAATCGCGATCGCTACTCTCGCCGCCAATCGCGATCGCGACTCCCGCCTCCAGTCGCGATCGCCAGCTGTTAACTTGACGCCGACAGATTCCTTTCCTTTTCTTCCCCCCCGCTCCCCGCTCCCCGCTCCCCGCTCCCCCTTCCCCTTCCGCCCTCCCCCTCCCCAGCTGCTGAACGTCTTCCTATAGCGCGCCGAAAACATACTGGATGTCCTCCGTGGCAGAGCATAGAGATATCAAGTCGCTGCTCTTGCGCTTGTGGATTTGTTAAATCTGTGTCGACAACATCAGTCCTTGCAGGGGGCGCGTTTCGTATGATATGCCAATCAGCGCACTAGGATGGATGATCGCCCACTTTCTTTTTCTTCTTTTTTTTTTGCGCAGAACTGGACCCTGTAGGGTTGAGTCCTCTCTCATAGGTTGTCGTGTAAATACCAGTAAATGAATGTACGTTTTTTGCGGACAACCAGCAGGGGTTCTAGACCCAGATATACTTGCAGCATTTTACAATTGCAAAAAGCAGAGCATTTGTTTTATTGATCATTGATTCGAAAACTCCGGGTACTTAACAGTCGTAATGTAAGAAGACCATAGTGTCTTCAACTACAAGACTGAAGTGCTTCTGTTGGTTCTGTGAATACACGATGAATAATCAGTGAATGCTCTGCGATCTTTCCCCCGTCTTCCAAAGCTAGGACTTTACAGAGTTCATTGTTGATAGGTCCATGTCCAGGGTTTACATAATTTACAGGGGTTTGTTAGGGTTCGTAGGATGAGCTTTTAGACCAGTTACTTGTATGGGAGAGATCAGCGTTGATCGGTCCATGCCTAGGGCTTACATAATTTACATGGGGTTTATAGGGGTCGAATGGGGTTCATGGGGTTTCTTAGGGGCTTTTACTTCGTATTATATGGGATAGAACACTCGGGTGTAGAGGATTTGGTGCTACGGATCAGCCCTACTGGGGTGGGCTTGTCGTTGTTGATGTCCATCTGTTTCTGACATGAATGGCACGTTTAGGGTTTTGCTGCCATTCTCTTCTTCTTCTTCTTCTTCTTCTTCTTCTTCTTCTTCTTCTTCTTCTTCTTAGTGATTGTATTATCATATTATTTGCTTCGACCAATGGTCTATTCATAGACCGACATTTTTTATTTTTTAATTGTGGTACGATGCCCTGTATCTGACGTGAATTACAGTCGGGATTCCATTTATTTTTCTAGCTGGAATATCAGGGTGACAGGGACTCTGCGCACGCGTCTACATGGCCCTTTTTTGGCCCTTCTATTTCAGGGATTTAATGTTGCAATAACCGTACTCGCCAGGGTACGGGGAGATCAATCCGTTTTTTTTTTTGTTTTTTTTTTTTTGTTTTTTTTTTTTAATCTGGGAATCATTTCTTTCTTGTTATATCTAAGTAACGAAAAGCTCAAGATGAATAAAGGGAAAAGGCCAATCTATTATCTAACGGCATCTGCCCAATTTATGAGCTTCTCAGCAACATTCCGCATTCTTTCACCCAGGTTCCCCTCCCCCTCCTCTGATAGTCTTACCTTGTCTTTTTTTCTGGGACTCTCTGTCTCTCTGTCCCTCTCCCTGTCTCTCTCTCTCTTTCTCTCTCTCTCTCTCTTTCTCTCTTTCTCTTTCTCTCTCTCTCTCTCTCTCTCTCCCTCCTCCCAACTTCTTTGATGAACCCCTTGCATTCCAATGGTTTTATCACAGCAATAAACTGTTTGTCTCCTTGAATGTTCCTCATTGTTTGCTGCAATGCAATGTTGAAACTGTATGTATGTATGAAAAAAAAAGAAAAAAAGAAAAAAAAGAAACTGTATGTAAATGAAGGATAACAAATAAATCAAGAATGCGTGACAATCTGAAATGTTTTGAATTCGAGGGTGTATGTAAACGTAAATGGCAATGACGTGTTTCAAAATTTGCAATGCGCTCTTCTTCCCACCATCCTAACCCCTCTCCCTCCCCTCCCTTCCCCCTCCCGTCCCCAGCAGGTGTCTGCAGCAATCCTGCAGCATCAAGTGCCATTGGCCGAGCGGCCTCCAGATGAGTCGCCTTTGACTGAGCGGGCCTCTGCATACAGAGGCTGGGTGGGTTATCTAGACTTCGAAATGATTGTCCCAGCGGCTCCTTGTGACTGTGCTTTTCATTACCCCTACGCGCTACTTCTTAAACCCTAAATTGTAAAACCCAAGGTCCTACACTCTATAACACTCTCTACACTCTCTGTTCTCTTCACTCTCCGACTTCCAAACGATTGCCCCGGCGGCTTATTGTTGTATTGCTCACTAAGGCCGTAGAAGGGACGAAGTGCTCAGCCTAGACAAGACAACACCTCTAGCCTTTTTTTTTTTTTTTTTTTTTTTTGAGGGCTGCGCCACACTCTGCTGCAGTGCAATACAGAGGCAACACTGTGCTTTTCATTAGCCCTACGCGCTCCTTCCTAAACCCTAAACTGTAAACCCCTATGTCCTAACACTCTACGTTCTCCTCTACATTGTCTACACTCTTCACTCTATACACCTTTACCCCTTCAAACTAACCTCACAAAAAACGTATACCGCATCCACTTCATGTGGCTGAACGATGGCACATTCATCCAACTATTAATAAACAGATCATGATTTCGAATCCTTCAACCTAAGCCCACAAAACAAAACGTATACGCCATCCAGCTCATGTGTCTGAGTGATGCCATCCATCTCATTGTGCAGCCGTTGATAAACAGATCACGAGTTCGAATCCTGAAAGAACGAGATTGGACGAATAAAATAACGTACGTGCAACATGCTAATGAATCCTTATACAAGAGGTAGGGTAGGCTGTGCCGTCGGCGGGGTTTAGGAATGGTTTTGAAAACCATTTTTGTATGGTGGGGATGAGCTGGGCTACCAGAGTGGCCCGGCCCACTTGCACGGCCGGGCCATAAATGAATAAAAATATATAATATATAAGCTGAGTCAATGAAACTCCAACGAGACAGTCTGTCACAGCTCCTCGTTTGTTGTCCTCTTCTTCTCCCTCTCTGCCCCCGGTTTACCGGGCAGCTCAGTTTGACGTAATAAATAGTTTGAAATTGGAATGCTAATCAATTGCAATCTATGAATAAAAAATTTATGCCTATTTTCAATGATAGGAATGAGCTGGGATCATGTCACAGATCACTCATCGACCGAGAAGTCAAATGGTCAAAGTCAAAGACCAAGTACGTAGACAAAGTCAAAAACCAAGTACAGATTGAGAGTACAGAATTACGCATACATAATACATATATCTTAAATTTATTTCTTATTTTTAACCTGGTAAAGAATTTCGGTGTGACCCTGATACGACGGTTGTGCAGTTCATTTTGCTACATCGCTGCCATCGCATAGTTTTTTTTTAAAGGCTGCCAACCGGGCCGCCCGGGTCACCCTATTTTCCCTGGCGGCCCAGCCGTGCAAGGACCAGGGAAGGTCCCAGCCAAACAAAAAAAACAAAAAACAGTTCCAAAAAATCCGACAAAAACTATGTTATGCAGAAAAATAAACTGAACAACTTTTGCCTCAGGTCACATCGAAATTCTTTACCAAATTTAAAATAAAAATTTGAATTGAAAAATATTATTATTTTTTCTTTTCTTTTTTGCCCGACCGGGCAAGTGGACCCGGGCCACTCTGGTAGCCTAGGTTTTTTTTTTTTTTTTTTTTTTTTTTTTGCAGGGAGCTTCCCTGGCCCTTGCTCGGCTGGGCTACCGGGGAAACCAAGGTGACCCGGGCGGCCTGGTCTGTAGCCCAGGGCGTGAAGTAATTAATACGTGAATCCACCGGGTAGTTAAGCCCAAGAGTATGCTTAACCGACGATGGGTAACAGTCCTGTTAAATTATTATTAAAAAAAAAAGAAAAGATGAATCCACCTACGAAGGATCGCATATGCATATTCATATTCATAAGTGCAGCAGTGCTTCTTCTTCTTCTTCTTTTTATTTTTTATTTGATTTATTTATTTATTTTGTGTTAGTGGTTCCATTGGGAGTCCGTTATGGCTTGATTTTTCGTCCAATGTAATAGGTGTGAGTTTTTTTTTTAATTTTAATTTTATTTTTTTGTGGCTTCTTTGTGGGCTTCCTTCCGAATGTGCGTGTCCAAAATGTTTAGCATTGCTGAAAATTGTATGTGTGGATTTGTATCGCTACATCTGAGATGCGTACTCACACTAGCAGTATCTCAAATGTATCTGACCGCATTCAGGCCATACCTGGATGTATCTGGCCACAGTTCCGTCCAAAAAATGCAAAAACGTAGTAGTGTGAGTATGCCCTGAGATGCGTGACGGAAAGCAGTTGGCCCCTGTTTGCACTGTTTCTTCCATTTGAGCCTGGTACCTATAGCAGCAATGGGAGCTATTTGACCTCCAAGAGGGGTATTTGATGGGTTAGGGGAGGTTAGACCCCTTGGTAATCCCTCCCCTTTCAACATGCCCCTGTATGACACCCTACGGCGTACATTCCTAAACTGTTCATGGTAGAGCGAATTTCTTGAACCCTGCACCCCAGACAGGTCCCAGGTGCTAAACCCTACATCCTGTGCCCCCCACAGTCCGAAATTTCTTAAGCCCTTCACCCCAGACAGGTCGTAGGTGCTAAACCCTAAATCCTGCACCCCTCTACAGATCGAATTTTCTTGAACCTTGCACCCCAGACAGGTCCTAGGTGCTAAACCCTACATCCTGCACCCCCTAGAGACCGCATTTTCTTGAACCTTGCACCCCAGACAGGTCCTAGGTGCTAAACCCTACATGCTGCACCCCCGGCCACCCTATACATGACACCGTACCCATAAACCCCTCACCCTTAGGCTGTAAAACCCTAAAGCATCATCAGTTGGGGGGTCTTGCTTAAGCACTGCTTAGAAAGATGTTTAAAGATCTACTCTTTCTCTTTTTCTTCTTCGTCTTCTTCTTCTTTTTTGATTCGGGCTCAAACGGTTTTCACCTTTCTGCAGTCACAGATGCGGGCCCTAGAGTTCGATCCCCAGACCTTACCTTGCCCATGTACAGTATCGCGTTGACCCCCGAGTGTTTGAACCCGTGATCTGTGTTTTGGTAGTTGTTTGTTATCTGTCGTAGGTCTGTGTAGTTGTAGGGGTCTGTCAAATAGGAGTCACAGCTCTGTAGAGGTCGTAGCTGTAGATGTCCTGAAAGGTCAAGGTCGTAGCTGCTACAGTCCTCAAAAGGCCAAGTCCACAGACTTCCGGAAGGTCCGGAAGTGGCCTTTCGAAGTTGTCTCGCGTTTAGCCAGAGACAAGTGGGCAAGTGGTGAGCCCAACAGCACTGTGTCGGCAGTGCGACTGCATCGAGTCGGCAGTGCAATCCCGTGCAGTTAGCGGTACCGTCCCAGCCAGTTACAGCCAGTCAAGCAAGTACCGTGAGGGACTGTGTGCACCATGGGCCCGGTGGAAAGGGGCAGAACAACGAGTTACAGAAGTATAAATCAAGAGGCAGCGCCCAGCCATTCACTCGCTGCGTAAGCCATGCGGAAGCGCTGCTACAGCGACTTGTGCGAAGGTGGTCTGCAGGTTGCCCGAAGACGAAATAGGCTGAAGACTCTGAAGAGCGAGATTGTAGCCATAGCGGTAGAGGCGAGCAGCCATAGCCGCCGAGAGTAGAGGCAGCTCTCTGTGTGTGTGTGTGTGTGTGTGTGTGTGTGTGTGTGTGTGTGAGAGAGAGANGAGAGAGAGAGAGAGAGAGAGAGAGAGAGAGAGAGAGAGAGAGAGAGAGAGAGAGAGAGAGAGAGAGAGAGAGAGAGAGTGAGAGAGAGAGTGCGTGTGTGTGGGTGTATTCAGGTAGATCCAGAGTTGAGTAAGGGTGAACAGTGGCGTTGAGCGCAGTGACAAGAGTTGGACTGTGTAGGCGCTGATGCGCCACAACTTATTGAAGCGAGTTTACATCTGAACTGCATTTCGATTGTCATATCTCCGAGCTTTGAGTGGGCGCTGTGCGCCAGTGTGAATCACCATCTGTTTGCATGTGTGCGAAGTGGAAAGAAAGCGAGTCTGATTGCAGGGCCCTTTCTTGATTTATGCATGTCGTCCTTGTGCTGGGCCATGCTAATCTTCTCTGTATCGTTCTAATGGGCACCTCCTTTTTTTTTGGGTCTTCTCTCTGCTTGCAGACATTCCCTATTCTTCTAAGAGCACTCTGTTTCCTAAGATGGGTGATGGTTCCAAACAGATTGCAGCAGAGTATCTCTCCTTTTTTTTCCTTTTTCTTCCGCCCCCCAATGTGTTCATCCTTTGCGGCAGCATTTCTGAAAGTTGGGTGGTCAGCTAAGTAGGATTGAGTGAGTGGCTTCAGGGAGGAGAGTGCCCACCCATCAATCAATCAATCACCCAAACAAAAGGAAAAAAAAAAACTGACAGAATGAGAAAAGACAGCATAAGCTCATCAATCAGTCCCGGGGGGGGGGGGGGGGGGGGGGGGGGGGGAGGGGAGGGGGTTGCAGGACCCTTTTGTTCTGTGTTTATTTTGTTAGCTTGAACCCTGTTGGCATGCTGAACATACTGACTCTCATCCTGGCTTGGAGCGACACGGGATTTATGATGGCTTCTGATCCTCGCTACCATGCTAGTGGCAGTTCTCTAATGTGGGGCACAATTCGCTACATGAAAAATCCAGCGGCGTCCTTCAGGACATCAGTTCAAATTGTAACTATACAGAGAAGATTACCATGACCCCTGCGCAAGGATGACGCACATGAATTGAGAAATGATCCAATTATAAAAAAAAAAAAGCAGCCATTGAAAAGAAAAACAAAGAAAAAAAGAAACCAGTTGGTTTCATCTCTCTAATGTGGGGCAGTCATACTGGGCTTTACTGGCCATCAATCGTTCATCAGTTTTCCTCTCTTCATCTTGATTGTTTTCTCCCGGAAGGAATTCTGATCTTTAGTATAATGTTCATATTAATTTTAGATCTGGTATCACAAAAAGAAAACAAAAGTATGCTTGTAAAAATATCATTCATAATTCCATAGGACTTTTTGCCGATGTAATAGTTTGAGCTTTGAAAAATTCAGTTTCGAAAGAATCTGACCTTCTGCATTATGACCAGAGAATAGGAACACATGACTGCCGGTCAGCCAAGGTCTATAGACTCTATACTATTTCTATAGTAAGGTTTAGAAGGCCCCACAGCTGCTATGTGCGAGGTAAGAAAATAAGAATCTGGCCATTTTTATGGCCTGGTTCATGCTTTCTGAGCACGAACATAGCATCAGTATGACCTGCTCCCAAGTCTATACTAAGAGGTAGTCTGTCTACTTTGAGGATGATGATGGAGATGGTGATGGAGAAGCAGCAGCAGCAGCAGCAGAAGATTGAGATGGAGATGCTGACTCTGCTTTTGATGATGGAGATGGTGAAGTGAGGGTGCTGCTGCTTCTTATGATGGACATGGGGATGCTTATGCAGCTGCTGCTTTTGATGATGGAGATGGAGATGGAGATGCTTCTGATGACGATGACCATGATGCTGATGATGATAATGGAGAAGCTGCTGCTGCTGCTGCTGCCGCTGCCGCTTCTGATGATGGAGATAGAGATGGAGATGCTTCTGCTGCTGCTACTTCTGACGATGAATAGTGATGCTGCTGCTGGTGCTGATGATGATCCTGATGATGATGATGATGGAGAAGCTGCTGCTGCTGCTACTTCTGATGATGGATAGTGATGCTGCTGCTGGTGCTGATGATGATCCTGATGATGATGATGATGGAGAAGCTGCTTCTGCTTCTGATGATGGAGATGGAGATGGAGATGCTTCTGCCGCTGCTCCTTCTGATGATAGAGATGGCGATGCTGCTGCTGCGGCTGCTGCTGCTGCTGCTGATGATGATGATGATGGACAAGCGAAGTGAAGAGGAGGGTGGTGATGGAGATGAGAGGTCCAAACCCTTGAGATGTCAGAACTGAGTAAGACCTCTCAAAGTACCATCTTCTCAATGTCTAGTCTATTGAAAATTAGCATTGACGAATAGACGGCGTGGTCGAGTTGTTGTCACCTGGAGTTCATCAGTTGTCATGGCTCCCTTTCTCACACTGCATGACTTACATAATCAGGTAGTAGGAGTTGAGAGGAAAGAAAAAAGGAAAAGGGATCTTTTCACCCAAACTGGTTATCCTTTTCAACTTTGAAGTCTCAGATTTTAAATTGACCCCTGGAGTCGAGCATCAAAGCCCTGTTGAAGTTATGGGTAATATGATAATATCGTTTTCGGCGTTTCTAGTTAAGCTTGTTTTTCTCTCCCCCTCTACCATCATTCATTCAGCCTCTTATGCTTGCGTCATGGGTCTCGTCTGTCACAAACCCCGTGGCACCAGAAACGTGAAGACATGGTTGGGGGCGCGCTGGTGCTGAAACTTCTTCTACGTGGCAGTGAAGTTTCGTTGAGTTGACGAGGTTCCATCCTGTAATGCAGTGGCAGGGAAGCAGGGCAAGCACCATACGGTAATGTGCGTACATAGTTTCTAATCCCTGCATTTTTTTATTTTTTTATTTATTTATTTTTCCACCCTTTTTTGTTTTTTTTTTGTTTTTTTTAAATTGGCTCCAGTCTATTGGTGGGGAGCGACACCTGCTGGAAATCGGGTCCAGCGCCCCTTACAATACATCAGAATTGGTCAACGATGAGAAAATGTGAGAGTCGAACGGCTAATGTTTTTTGAAAGGATGCAGGATTTTGATACACTGTACTGCCAGCATTGATTGCCCTGGTATGTCCCAGGGGATTGGATGAGCAGTACCGAAGGAGCCTCTTCACAATACAGGTCCTTTTTTCTATTTGTTTTTTTTTTTGGCTTTTTTTTTTTTTTCTGAAGGGCGACGACCTCGAGATACCATCATCGAACCGCCCAGCCTTAGGTGCAGGATCATGTTATTTTGTTCGGCGGATTGCATCTGGAGTCGAACTCGGGTCTGTATGATTTTTTGAATTTTTTTCCTTTTATTTTTTCTTCTTTTAAAAGGTTGTGTGGAGGCTCGAAGTATGGACAGGGCCCTGAACGGACAGAGGAGACGCAGCCCACACACCACCCAGGCACAGAGAGGAGGGCATCAGTCCGAACCGGTAGACCACACGCCCAGCGAACCCCCCCCCCCGGCACACTGTGTGCACCATGAGAGAGCCATCACACCCATACATACTGAACCCATACATACTGAACCCCCATCCCAGACAGACTACTACGATACCACAGACAACAGACAATGGACAATGGACAATGGACAATACAGAGTATTACAGACTCTTGGCCTCTACAACACCCTGGGCTTTTTAGAAGGGAAAAAAAAGAACACCCTACACAGAGAATGAACAATATCAGAACACCCCATACAACAGCCTACACAACCAGTGCCACCGTCCCCCCTAGGGGTACCTGGCCCTAAGATGCGACTGCACCGGAATCCGATCGAAAGGGACCTTGCAAGAGCGGGCGCTAGTTCAAGGCCATTTAGGGCCAGATCCCACAGGCAAAGAGGATTGGAAGAAGTGTCTGAATCTGGGCGTGTTCCTTGCAAGGTGCAGAAAAGTACAACAATCACAAGTTTTCGCACCTGTCCACAAACACGTCCACATTCTGACACTTCTTCCAATCCTCTTTGCCAGTGGGATCTCTCCCTTAGCCTACTTGCAGCATGCGCCACAAGTGTTCACCTGAGGTGGGCCGGCTCTCGAACCCACAACCTGCATTTTACAATGCAGGCGCCCAAACAAACCGGGCTCCGAACAGTCGCTGGATGCGAATGGCCACTACGTCGGTCGACGCCCCTTCTGGAGTACTCCACGCAGGTGCCGAGTTTTGAACCCGCAACCTTAGACCACAATGCGCATTTCCAACCAGTGCCCTAACCACTACCGTCTTCACCCAAATAGAACGCCCGGTTATTATAGCTGTATCTGGACTGAAAAGTGCACCAAATACGGCTATAATGACCGGCGGCCGTTCTATTCAAGTGAAGACGGTAGACAATTGGGCCATTCGCTGGGTCTGTATTTCAACAGTTCATGGGTGTACCAAGTACCAAATACTACCGTCTGAGCTAGGTCCATCGGTCAATACAGGCCCATATGGTCCCGGCTCCTTGTCCATTCTGGGAATCTGGGGAGCATCAGTCCAGTACATTGTCCCCCAGCAAGTCAGACACAAAACCATGCT